ACCACCCTGCTTCCTGGAAGGCAGTGATACATCCTTTGTAGAACTTGCATATGCTTCAAATGCATATGCCCTTGTTGAGTGAGTCTTCAAGTCATTGCCTGCGGCCAACAATATTTTGACAAAAACCAGTTTATATTTACATGCTTGGCAAGCACCTGTCCTTTTGTGTCTGACAGCCTGCTCTATTCTGATCCACCCCATACATGCACTCTGTGCATGTTTCATAACATGCATAACTGGATTTGGGACATTTGAATGTCAAATGTTCCATTATGTTTTTACTGTTCATGGATTTTTTTCCTACATATAAAATATTTGCTATGTTTCTGAATAGATGGCGGTAATAGTTAGCAATTTCATAGCTATGATTTGGAGACATTAGAAATTTGTTTATTAGTCTGCACCCTTTATTGATTATTTCATGATCATGTCAAGTTTTAGGAGACTGAAAGAGTAATATATGAAATCTAATTTTATTAGGATGAGTTCCGTATTATTATCTTCATCTTGGTTATTATTCTTTTTATGTTTTATTTATGCATAAATTAGAAAATTAGATGTGACAGAATACAAAGTTATAGATTCTATACCAATATCTGTTTCGTCTTTGAGAATTTTCAAAATTCAGTATTAGCTTTTCACTAAAATGCTTCAAACATCTATCCTCCTTTTTTTCTTTTTTTTAAACTTAAATACATTCATTGCTTTTTGAAATTCTCAAATAATACAGTCAAAAATCTTTAATCCAGACTCGCCGGGACTTCGGCGATTCCGGATTATAGATCATCAGTCTAAATCTGGTAAGATGGCATGCAGAAATTATAAACCGTAATTTATGAAATAAAAAGCAATTATGATCTAAAGGGTATCAAAATTTACAAAAAAAAAAAAAGCTTTATATTTATTTGTTTACTTTATTAAACATTTCTTTCAACTGGCGCATGCGTAATGCATACATTACGCATAGTCGAAATTAGAAAATTGCAACCAGAAAACTATTTGTTGTGTATTCGTGATATTTATAATGATGAGGAATTTGATTTAAATCATAGCAAAGACGGAGTACATCGAGATGAAATACTACATTTAGTAAGGAATTATAAGCCGAATAAAATAAAAACATCTGCCCTGAAGATAAGGATAGTGCTGACAGATCAACTTCCAGTTCATTGCGCGCAACGTTCCCCCCCTCCCGCAGAGCAGTGTGAAATTGATAAACATATTTCGGAATGATAAGAGAATCAAAGGATATGCCTTTATCTATTTTTGGCAGTAATTCTACTTTTTGTTTGATGGACATAGAAACATGCTTTCGCTTTGTAGATCCTTTGGTAGCTCCAGAATCGGAAATTCTTTTTGACATAATCGAAAGTTCAAGCTTACTTTTATAAAATTGCTCTAACAGTGTGCAAAAAATAATAAGCCTGATCCAATTAGAAGATTAAGGAACAATGCAATCTGCAACATTAACTGAAATAGATAATTAGATAATTTTAGCTTAGCTTATACCGTCCATTATACATTAAACGTGCATGCGTAGACACATATGCGCATGCGTAAAGGTATCATGCGCATGCGCAGAAAGTTTGTAGCTTTGAGGTCCGGTTTGTATAATTTTTTGTGTATTTGTTTTTGAAAGTTTGTAGCTTTGAGGTGATTATAGATCATTCTGGATTATGGACGTCTGGATTAAAGACTTTTCACTGTATATTGTTACGAATTTTGTATATAAGTAAATAATTTTAGTGAAATTATACATGAAGCTGTATATTTCTGTATAATGTAACATGAAATGCTTGAAAGAGATGAAGCTTTGCCAGAAAAATAAGAATACATGCAAGTCTATTTAACACTGTGTAATGGCTCTGGTTCTGCCGACTAATTTTGTCACCAAATTTGGCGAGAAATCGCCAAACTTGGTGACATTTCAGTTCAGTCCCTGTATAACTGTAATGGATCCCTATCTGTAACAGTAACCATATCTGGTCCTCGTGTGTAACTTGAACCATATATTCCTCCCACTAATTTCGAGAATTAGAAGGTACTAAAGAATTTTTGTCGGCCGGGGGAAAATTAGTGTAACTCGTGATTGTGCTCTGCAATGCTGAGAAGAGCTGTACAAGTGATTTTATGGAAAATTCCAGAAATGTGCAGTGTTTCTATTGATAAAAAAAAATTTTACATGTTTGAAAACAGTTATATTTAAAGGGATAGCACAGAGAGGCATTAAGTAACTGATTGCTTCCTTTATTTTTAAACTGGGGTAAAATAAATTTTGAAAGTTAAAAATATCTTATTGGAGATATTTGAATGTTAAATTTTTTGAAAACTTATATTACAAGTGAAAAGCAGAGAGAGAGAGAGAAAAAAAACTCGTATATTAGACTGTTGTTGTTAATGCAGCAGTTATTCATTAACTACAGTCCAATATCCAACTGTATGATAAATTTTCTTTCCCATGTAAGACATTCCATGGTAGGATCCATTATCTACCCCATAAAGTATATTCAGTAATAAAGACATTAATTACATACAAACAAATGAACGCATAAAAACGCACATTAATTACATACAAATAATGTATGAGATTTAAATTAAAAAAATAAGAATTTTTTTAAAAGAAAACGATTTTCTGGATAACTCTTACTTAACATAATTTTTTATTGAGAGATGTATTCAGCCATTTGTCAAAAGCAATAACTCTGTGAATGCTTTTTGATTACTTTTTAATCATTGTTCCAAGGTTCAGGAAGGTTAAGTTGTGGAGTAAACTTGATAATTCTCTTATACAGTATAAAGTCATGACGAAATAATCAAAAGTCTCAATTGTATCACCAGCTACCTTTAAAAAAAAAAAAAAAAGAAATATATGCTTTACACATGCGCATTTGATATTTTTTATAATAAAACACGTGGAGGATCTCGATTTTTAGTTTAACTCAGGCACTAAATAAAATATTTCCATATTGAAGAAACAATCATTTATTAGCATAAGCCTGTATGATTAAATGTAGTAGTCGGTTTGCTTGGCATATATCTGTATATCAAACCATCTTACGCCGAAACATAACCCACATGCCAAACTGGAGAACCATTATTTATTATTTTTTTCTTTCAGCATTGTATGACTATCAACTCACGACACCTTAGGAAACTTATCCTAACTCTGAACATTGATGTATGTGTTGACAAGGAGAAATTAAATAGAAACTTTTTTCCATATGCAAAAAATAAATTTTGTAAATATAACATAGGCTAAAAGATTATATTTAGTGCTTCTTGAATTGAGAACAACCAATTTGTTACTCAGATAAGCCTAGAATGCGGGAGAATTAAAAGGATGACAAAATCTTAAGTTATTTAGGGAAAGCACTGGGATACAAAATTTTGAGGCAGCAAAATTTTTAGTACTAAGGGAGGAACATGGTAGCAGAATTTAGGACCTGCAGAGACTGCTCCGAGCTGCAAAATCCCAATCAGCTGTCCTGGATAAGCCTTAAGTATATGCGGGAATTTATTTATTCCGGATTCAGGTAAGCATGTGTGAGAAATAGGTGTAAGTATAATGAATAACTAACTGATATAATTCAGCATATGATAGAGGCAAAAGAAAATTTAAGCAAAACAACATGTCTTTAATCCCTAATAGTGTATAACGGATGCTTGCTAAGCTTTATGGTGATAGCCACAAATTTGAAAGTTTTCAGATGTCGCAAATAAAAATCGAAATTTTCCAAATAATGGAATTTGTGAAGAAATGTGGAGAAGTAATAAATGATAAAACAAATGTTTTCCACTGCGATGACAATGCCCCAATCAACTAATGGACAGTAAAATTTGTATTATGGTTCTAAATCCAGAAAATGTTGCTGCCGATAGTGAAGAAAGTGACAAAGAGGTTGCTTAGAACGAAAAAAATCCGATTGGCTGTTTGGTGGGAATTCTTGACGCAGCAAATACAGGACCTTGAACAATACAAATTTGTAACTAAACAAGAAATTATGTCAACCTATAAAGAAAAAAATATTACCACAAAAATGAAGAAACTCAAACAACTTACATTGAAAAGAAATGTTCAGTAAAAAGAAAAAAAAAAAAAAAAAAAAAAAAAAAAAAACCATTGAGCTTTTTTTTTTTTTTTTGCAAATTTTGAGTCCTTAAAGTTCATAAATGTTCAATTATTTCATATTTCTAATTTTATAATTTCTACATCTCTTCTTACTAGATCTAAGCATCTAATATTTGAAAAAATCCTTATCCGGAATCGAAGTTCTGACATATCCGGATCTCGCACTTCGTACTGTACAGAGAATACGGAATAGGTGCTTAATTGAATTATTTTGGGGAGAAAAACAAATATGTAAATGCAAAATATAAGAAAATCTACAGATGTGAAAGATGGCAAGTAACAGTAACTGAATGGATATGTATATGGAAGGCTAAATAGATGAATTTAAAAAAAATATGATTTATTAAACATCTAATGCACTTTTAAAGTAATTCACATCTATAGGTTAATCAAACAGCTTGTCTGCCCTCGATGCTTTTTAATATTCTAATAAACTCTTTCAGTACTTTCCCATTAACATCTTATTTGGTATCATCCTATTAGCATTCGGTAATTCACATCAGCAGTAGCAAGTTATTGTGAAAAATTATTTAATGCAGCAATTGAATCAACAGAAAGAAAAATCAATAAATGCAGCTTTAAAGATCTTCAATGTTAAACAACGGCAAATTATCTGATCTGAGATAAGTTATTTAACATACTGTATATATGTGTAATATATGAATAAAATTCGAATAATATGCATTAAAATGCTAAGTGATGCATAAAAAATGTGTGAAATTTTCCCGTAGACAGGAATCATTTGAAAAGTAATTACAGATTTTTATTTATATATAATTTTATAGATAAATTTCTGCCATTTATATAATATTCTTTAATTTCTAAATACTATTTTGGAGAAAAAAGGTTATTGTTTGAACATTTTTTTTAGAAAAATGGTTGCACTTTACCTCAAGATCTGAAGAATTTCTATTTAGCTACAGATGGTTTGCAGATAAAATGGTTTTGGAAGCAAAGAGGTACTGCATTTTTCATTTTTCTTCTTTTTCATGCATGTTCATGATTATAATTATTTTGATATTTAGGTGAAACTGTGCCTTGTGGTGTAATTGAGGTAGCTCGTTTGAGTCATCTGAAGAGCATTGGACCTAAAAGGCAAAGTGTAAATTCAGAGCTTCCTACTGTTTTGGATATTGAAAGTGACACAGAAGGTAAAACAATTTATTTGGCTCTTAACAGCATACTTAGGACTTTTATGTGACTTTAACCTTTTAACTGTCAAGTTATTTTGATGATTTGGGTGCATAAATTGTCAATTTTTTTTTTATTTCAAAAATGAAATGTTTGTCTCGCAGTCAAAAAAATCAAAAAATGGCACGCACTTTGAACTTTAACCTCTGTCCTTTGAAACCTTCAGTAAAATGCTGCCATCCGTTGAACTGAAGCCGAAATTAACTTCTCACGATATATATTTGGGTATAACAATACGATACACTAAAAAAAAATTAGCCCGAGTATTTGGAATACCAGTACTGTGCCCGAGATTATTTTGGGCATGAAAGTTAAAAGGTTAAACTTCTACCTTGAAGTTAGAAAATGGACTTGTTTTTAGGTATCTTCAAAATTTCTTATTTTATGCCTTTACCATAATAATTTCCTTCAGATTTAAATTGTGCAGCATAACAAGAAATTTTATTTATACATGAGAAATGGGTAGCAATGTATAGTGTGGAAGTGTAAAGAATAGCACTGACTAATTGACTTTTTTGAAATATACAACACAATAATATTAGTACATCTATTAGTAAGTTTTTTAATTGGCTGAATTCTTTTCAAAAACTCTGATTTTCGAGTGATAAAATTAGGGTTGGGAATGATATGCGAGCAAATACTTTTAGACTGAAATATGTATTATTAATTTTTTAATTGGTATAAATTCTTTCTGAATAAAATGAACTTAAGTCCACTGTGAAAAAACTGTATGAGAATATCATAAATAATGAATTTAGATTGCTTTCGTTGTAATGCAAACCGCTTAATATATGAAATTATATGCAGACTATATACATTATTATGCTTAATATATGCAGACTGCTTAATATGAAAAAGAGAACTGAATCAGTCTTACATATAGCATATGTTCTTACCTTACGATGCTGAATGCAAACTCTGTTATTATTTAAATATGATACTTTGCATCCTACTTAATGCCTGTATACCATGATTTCTGCAAAATGTTCTATAAAATGCAAATTACATACAGTATGCATTTGATCGGTAGCTTCAGTATTATTCATAAGTATGCAAGTCGTAATTTTTAATTTCATTATATGACATCTTCTATATTATTTATTTTTGGTTAAAATTTCTGTAATTAAATAGTATAGTTCTTTAATTTTTTTTTTAAAAATGACTTATGGCTTTAGTTTTGTACTTATTTATTACTGATGAAATTTTTATAATAAATAAGCATCAGTATCATTTAAATAAATTTCACAAATTCATATTTGTTTTTATTTTGTTGCTGATAAAATCTAACATACATCATTAGTGTTTAAAATTGTTTGTTTGTTGAAACTGATAATTTCTATTAGATTGTGTTTAAAAATACTTGCAGTTTTTAACTTAGAATATTACTGTTTTAAATTCATTTTCATTTCTAGAATTGTGTGAAGGTCATGTAAAACCAAAGTTTAAAGATGGCTGCAAAATATTTGTGCTAGATCACTGTCAAGGAGCTGGAAAAGTATGCCTTGTTTATCCAAAGCGAAAAGGTAATAAATATAAATATTTTAAATGTCACAGATTTAAAAAAATGCATAATTTTACTTTGCTTATGTTATATAACTAATATCAGACATCACTTGTCTTTCCATGAATACAGATTCATCTGGTGATAGTAGTTCTCAACAACCCTCAGTTTGGTTCCTAGATAGAGCACTTGATTTTCATTACTTAACTTCAGATTTTGCTTCATATTACAGACTAGCCCTAGCACATTTAGGTATCCCACAGTGGCAATTACTTTTCACACCTTATGGACCTCCTACAAGAACAAGGGTAATAATATTTAAAGATTATTATTTTTTCTGAAATATTATACCTCATCTTTAAAACTAATGTCTCTACTAATATTATATTATACAGTGGGATGGACAAAAATATGGAAACACCTTGTGAAATGCATGTTTGAAAAGAAAGATTGATTTTAATGAAATATGTAGGTGGCGCTGGCATTTTTGACTACTGACGCCACCTATACAACTTCGTAAATGTGCTAAACAGTTCAGTTGTTGTCGGAGTACTGTTATGTGAGGTTGTCATTGCATTATGTCAGAGTTAACAGACTTCGAACGTGGGCAAATTGTTGGAGCACGTATGGTAGGTGCTTCCGTAAGCAAGGTAGCCGAGGTGTTTAGTGTTTCAAGAGGTACTGTATCGAAGATTTATTCCGCATATTTGAAAAGCGGAAAAAACATCATCTGCTAAATCACAGCGCGGACGAAAGTGTGTCCTGAGTGATCGTGACAGACGATCATTAAGGGCAATTGTGACGAAAAATAAGAAGACCACAGCTGCAAAAGTTACTGCTGAAATGAATGTTGTGTTATTACCGAACCCTGTGAGTACCAAAACAATTAGAAGGGAGCTTCATAAACAGGGAATTGCTGGCCGTGCTGCAATTGAGAAGCCACTCATCAGTGATGCTAATGCCCGTAACAGGAAAAGGTGGTGTTTAAGTCATAAAGCCTGGACTATAGAGCAGTGGAAGCGAGTAATATGGTCTGACGAGTCTTCTTTCACATTGTTTCCCACTTCTGGCCGAGTTTACGTCTGGAGAACGCCATCTCAAGCCTATAATACAGACTGCTTGTTGCCAAGAGTGAAACATGGCAGGGGTTCTGTTATGGTTTGGGCAGCCATATCGTGGTTCTCTGCTAGCCCCATGATAACTGTGTCAGGGCACATGACTGCCAAGACTTATGTGAACATTTTGGCCGATCAAGTTCATCCCATGGTACAAACTTTGTTCCCCGATGGTGATGGTGTCTTCCAAGACGACAAAGCCCCTGTTCACACAGCTCACATTGTCCAGGACTGGTTTTCTGAGCACGAGGATGAGTTGTCCCATCTCCCTGGTATATATAAACTATAAGTGGTACAAACATTAAAAATTGCTGCTTTTAACGCAAATGAGTTGTATACTACTGTTTATCAGAAAGAATTTTACCATCCTTATGTTCAAAAATTATAATGAATTTTTCTCATTTTCCTTAACTATTAACTTACATGAGTGCATCTGTTACTTTATTTATTAAACACTTTATAGAAAGATTATAGAAAATTAGTTGTCATACGTGAAAAAATCTTAAGATTTTGAATAATTTATGTTAATTTATTGAAAAATATCAATAAGATAAATATGTTTTACAGAAAATTCAATTGAATTAATAATTTAAAATGGGTAATTCAATGAGGAATTTAATCAATGCTGATAATACAATATATTGTATTTCTGCCCTAGCTTCTTAGTGACAGGTTCTAAAACTTAAAAAAGATATTCATGTAATTTTCTCCTTCCTAAAACATTCCAAGAATGACCTCTCATAAATTTTAAAATGGATTTGTCCACGTAGTGATTGTTTTCATCTTACTAACAAAGGCAAACCCTCACAAACTACCTGCAAAGGTCAGTCCAAATTTTATCTTCTAACTGTTGAACTTTATGCCAGCCTAGTACAGAAATAACCAAACAAAGCAAAGCAAACACAAACTAAAATTCAGTTTACGATTTCATCGAGTCAGTTGCACATTCACCACCTCTAATTATTTATGGATGATTTTGAGGCTTAAGGAGTAGTAGAGACAACAATAAAAATGGGCAAGATTCAAATTACAGGGAAACAGAAATGAAGGTAACTTATTAGGTATTATAATGTTAATATTACTATGCATTCTCATTGGAATGTAGGTTTCTTTTAAAAATATTACAGTGATAGTTGCATTTAGTTTATTTATGACTATTTTTTATTTGTTATTTTCTTACTGTTACTTGTAACTGCATCAATTTGAAATTAAATTATTTGCATAATGTTCCTTTTTTGAATTTTTTTTAACCTTTTTGAGTACATTATTCTATTCAATTTTACTGTGAAAGTTTAAAAGTAAAAAATATGTTCTAGCATCTTAAAAATGATTAATACAATGAAATACCACCATAATAATGTATTTAATTACATTCAATGCATTTGTTAATACTTCTCAATGCAATGCTAATTTTTCTGAATTTTTTTTAAATATATTAATTGTGTGATTCTCTACATTATGAAAATAATATAGCATTATTGTTTATACATATGCACATTTTGTCCAGGATCAGCTTTAAAGAATTTTCATGGAAAAGGTTAAAAACTATTATGTTGTCATCCATGGAAACAAAACTCTTCTACATAAGATAAAGTTATGCATTTGTTCAACTTATTAACAGACTGAAAAACTGATTCCGTGTATTCCTATTACTTTTTGTCATTTAAAAGCAATCATTGTCTCGAAAGTTAGTTATATGCACGTTATTCTATTTTTTTTTTTTTTAATCAGACAAATAAGTGTTTAATAAATGACTTTGTAAATTGGCAATATAAAATTCTGTAATCCACTATTTCAATTTTCAAAAATCTTATGCTAAAGGTAAACTGTGATTTTAGTCCCTGTGATGTTAACTGTACTCATTTTAATTTTATATATACAAATTTAGTTATTAACAAATATTAATTATTGCATAATCCCCATTTCATAATAGGAAAAACATTGGGAGAAAATTAGATATTTAGATGGAAAAGCTAATATAACTTAATATACGATTTTAATTTCAGGCAAGTAATTTATTATAAATAGGGAGTTTAATTTTAAATTATATTGTTTTAAAAATCTCTCTTGGGTGATAAAATGAACATGCTGTACCAGTAAAATAAAAATGTTGGCACTTTTCTGTTATTGGGACCAGATTCAAAAATGTATGTATTGTAACTTATTTGCGTTGCTACACTACCAACATACCAGTTAGAAATGTAAAGAAACCTGACACATAAAATATCAGAGCTTGAAGATGCGCACACTTAAAAATGTTTTCCAGTTATTCTGTAAGTTTGACTAATAAAGTTGATTATTCGATCCAAAATGACAAGATTTCTTTACCTTCATTATAATATGTATGTTTGTGCATACTTACATGTATGCACACACTTCTGAATCCTGTCCTAGTAATAGATTTAGATAACAGTACCAAATTTCTAATTTTTGATTACACATAATCTTGAAAAGAAAAAATATAGAGCCTAAATGCTATTTAGTAAATCTTAATATATTTTTTCTTTTTAGTTGCTGTTGAATATGTTTGCTCCTGAGAGACTTGTTCAAAAAATCTTTACTCTGTAAGACAAAATTATTTATACTGAATATTAATGAAATAGGAAGATTTTTTATTGAAATATAACATTTTATTCTGTTATGCTTTTAATGCATTAAGACCTTTGTAAGAGAAGTGCAATAACAAAAAGCATACATTCCCTGTTTATTCAGTAATTTTACTGTAAAGATTAAAATTGTCTTAGGATCTTAATATTTCTGCTATAGATATGCTGTTAAAAACCATTAATTTATCTCCTATTTGACAAAGTAACTGTGTACGAAATGATATGTGTGTAACAAATGTGTAATTTTAAAAAATAATTCATTTAAAAGAATATAAAGTTTCATATTGCTCACATTATAAGATTCTACAGGAATTGGAGCATTAAGTTTATAATATGAGATAAATTATATTTAATTTATACAAAATATGAGTTTCCAATTAAACAGTATCAAATCCAATAAAATATTGCCTTATACAGATTATATAATGTTATAACTGAAAAGTTGATAACTGTCTAGTTTATTAAAGAGTTTATTATTCATTACATAAGTTGTCCAATTCAGTTTTTAATTATTCTCAATTTTTTACATTTAAATTCTATGAATGTATGGTTTTTATTATAGTTGTTTTTGTAACAATTTTATTCCAAAAATTCTAGTCTGTTACTGTTATTTATGTGTAAAGAAAAATTATGCGATGTATAACATTTATGCATTTTATTAAAATGTGAAATCTTTGGAATGCCTGTGCACATCATTCCTATGCTGAAAATATAAGAAAAATTAAAAAATTTTTTGTAAATTAAATTATACATCAAAGCTTAAAAAAACATATAAACGATTCAAATGTGTAATCACTAAATCCCCGATATACCATTTAAGACAAAAAAATTGACACATGAAGAAGAAATCATCTGATTGTAACAAAATTCCAGATCCAAATACAAATACATGCTAAAAAATTAACTGGCACTTGCACTTAAAATGAACTTAAAAATAAGATAAAATACTCTAGGCTGATATGCTGAAACAATGTTTAAACATAGATCAAAAGGAAGGAGCTTTTGCAGACAATCTGTCTACATCGTCAACTTGAAGAAGAATGGATGGTTTGATCAAGTTCATTGCCTTATATTGAGAATTGCTTCACTCAGAATTGACATCCAGATGTATTGAAGATCTCTGTTGCAACATGGTTTAGTAATGATTTCAGGCATTTCTTTAATTTTGAGGCTGTTTTTATGCAGTGGTCTGGAGATGATACAATCAGTTACTGAGTGTGGATGCTGAGAGAAATATTTAACAAAAGATATCCTATTTTCATTGATAAACTGGTTGACAGAGAGTGCATATATCTTTTTTTTTTTTTTTTTTTTTATGTTCAGCAATTATAATGCTAGCTTTCTAACGTGCAGTTGCCCTTAAAGAGGTAAGGAAGTCCAATCAATGATCACTTGACATTTGATGATGATGGCAGGAATGGTTGAACTACGGCACTGCACAATGAAGGCAGTGGACAGATAGTGAGACCATAGCGTATCTCAGAGCAGTTGTTGCAGCTTCTCATTATCAATGATCTATAGTGTAACTGGGACACCAGTGGCTTCAAAGACCATTAATAAGGGACTCGGAGAATAGAATCTGTTCTCATAATGCTCACTGCACTGACTACACATCATCTATGTACATTTATTTAAAAGCACATTTGCAGCAATGCTGAGCTCATCTAACCTGGAATGACAGGGTTTTCAGGAATGAATCTTACTTTGATTTGAGCCACAATGACCACAATCACTATCATGTATCACAGAGAATAAAAGCAGTAAGTTATAGTCTAAGGTGCAATTTCATGATAGTTGGACCGCTTTGGTTGCCATCCATGACATTCTTGCAGCAGGATAATACACCAACGATTTTCTATGACCTATTCTGTCACCCTTCCTTTTGAGACACCTTGAGCTTAATTTTAACAGAATAATGATCAGCCACATATGAAAGAAATTTCAACTGACTGTCTCATATTTGTTAAACTTCCCTTGCTGGTTAGATCACCAGATCTTTACCCAAAAGAGCTTGTCTGGGGGTCTTATGAAAGGCATTTCCTTAACAATTAGAGACAGTTTGGCAAAATATTCCACAACAGGTCAAATATTATGAGACAATGTCAAGCTAAATAACAGTTTCCATAAGGGCTCTAGGGGTAAGCCAAAGCTTTATTGATTTATTCACTATATGCAGCTGTAGCTCTTTAGTAAAACACTTTCTGAAATTTTGTTTCTTTTTCATTGCACATTTACCAGAATACATCCTATTTGGATATCTTCTTGAAGCTTTTTGGGGGAAGAGTTGGTCTTGGAGTGCATTTTTAGTAATTTAAATTTTTAGCTTTGGAATAATCTCTAGTCTTGGACTAATCTTTTAGTCTTGCAGGGCATACTTTAGTAATCCAAATTCGCATTTATATCAAAAAAGAAAGAAGAAGCACTTTTATAACATGATTACTCTAACAGTTGTTTTTCTTTAACTTTTGTTTCTTTCTCTCTCTTTGGCACTTTGATAAACAATGTCATTACATTTCCATAAATAAAATACGATGCACAGCCGTAAAAAGCCAGTTGTCATCATCTGCCAAAATAAATAAATAAATGAAAGCACTTTATCATACAAACTGTATTCTACCTTACTTCTAACATATCAGATCTTTTCTCATGATACACTGTATTAAAGAAATAAAATAACGTTGAAACACAATAAAATACAAGCTTTATCATTTTATTTTAAATTTTGGGAAAGATTAGTAATTTTTTGTGTGAAATGAAACTTTTATCTGCAGAAATTGCTATGAGGAATACTCAAATTCTTGTAGATTAAAAGCAAAACATTGAAAAACCATGCGTATTTGTGAACATCAAATAAGTACTTAATAAAAATACACAGTTTAATGTTATTTTTAAGCAGTTTAATTAGGAGAATAAGTTTATTAGGCTTGTAAATTAAATTTGCATTCCAAACAAGAATATACTTAACAAACAAGAATAAACAAGAAAGAAAAAAGTTTATATTACTTTTGTACTTTAGTGGGGGAGGGGGGGTCGGTGAGAAACAGAAGATTAACAGCTATACACATAATTCATTCTTGTAATTTAACAATTTATTTTTTAACGATTTTTTAACAATATTTTTATATCCCAGAGTATATTCAATTAAATTACATTTTGTGAACACCAGGCCATAACTTCTTGGGGTTCATATCACGTGTTGTCATGCCTATCAGTGTGAAACAACTGGTCATAGCAGTGGATTTTCTGACACAAAACCATAGCGATTTATATGTGCCAAACACATGTTAAGTATTTCCACAGAGACACAAGCACATAGACAAACAACAAGTTTAAAAACAACAGCATAAAATCAAAATAAGCGATAAAAAGATAAATTTTGAAATAAATAGATAAAATTCAGATAATGATATATGTAAAACAGGAAAAAAGTCAGAAACATTAATTATTTTCTTTATCAAATGCCTGGCCATTTGACCATCAGGTCATTAGGTAATGAGCTCTTCAATACTTCTTCCCAATACAGTCAAAACTCTTAAGTCCAGAGGAGCAGCGTCTATGACTTATCCAGCATCACACAAAGCACATAAAGGTGAGGCAGTCAGATTAAAATAAAACAAATGAGCACCAAGGCAGTATGTCCAGTCAATAGTCTAAACTCAGCCACAGCAGTAGCAACTATCGAAATTTATAACCAGAAATTCTGGTTGGGTCAAGCTTATCTGGGCTCCTGAATGCCCGCCTCAAATGTCCCAATGAATAAACCTGTACTGTACCCATTAAGTTGGAAATCTTTTTTAAGAGTGATACTTTGTCAAGAGTTGACACAGTATGGTTTATCCCTCCCTAGTTCCATGAAGTGCATGTAGTGACAAACATTCCTTTCCAACATGTACAAAGAGCTTGCATGATAATCAAGAGTGATTTCATGAATTGTAACTTTTCTTACACATTATCAGCTGAGCCAGCCAGTATACATTCAATTCTGAGTGCACATGATTAACCTGTTCATGAGTTTTGATGAGTGGAAATGTTTACAGGGTATTCATGATACAATTTTTTTTGCAGCAGACTTGGAGCAACCAAATTCATCAATAATATCTGAAATTATATGACCCATCTTCCTAGCAGCAATACTTACACTATATTCAAATTCAGGTAACCCTTGCATCTAGTAATGTTGAATGAACAATCAAGGTAGGCAGAAATGAATGCTAGATGTTTCATGAAAAACCCCTATACATTTGCAATTCAAAGCATTACTATTTTGAAAAAATTGTAGAGACATTAGGATATTTTTGAAAGCAGGCAAGATAAAAAATTAGCAATTCTTTGCTGGGAACTGAATCGCGGACCTCTGGATACACGCCCAGTGTGCAGACCACCATACCATGAAGGCATGCCAAGAAAGTGGGAGAAATGCCTTATATGCTCCCCCTTTTAAAGGGCAACTGAGGTTTTCAGAGGACCCAGTCGTCAAATCTTAGATGTGGAGAACCATCATCCAACACCCTTTTAGTTCGGGCACCACTGTAGAGACATTAGGATATTTTTGGAAGCAGAAAAGATGAAAAATTAGCAATGCCTTCGCCGGGAATCGAACTGTGCACCTCTGGATACGCGCCCAGCATGCAGACCACCACACCATGAAGGCATGCCAAGAAAATAAGAGAAATACCTTAAAAAATAATAAAAGTCTTTTTTTCAGTGCTACTTTCATAATTTTTGGTCTTTTAGTACATTAACAGCAGAAGGTCTATCGACTCCAAATTATATTTATTCTACATGTATCCAAAAATGTAATTTAACACTTAAAATGAATCCAGTATTAATGATGACTATCAATGCCATTATGTATAAATTTAAAGCAATAATTCAATATTAAAAACAAAATTTAAAAGACTTGACTATTCACAATCAGTTAAAGAAGAATAAAATTGAAGCATACTTTTACATGCATTAGAAAATGCCATTTAACCCTTTGATGGTTACGAACGAGTTCAGCTGGCAATCGAATCGTGCTTCATAATGAGCGCACACGAGTTCTGCTCGGGAACAAGATTTCGACCGAAATGGTTAGAAACAAGCACAACTCGCGTAGTGAAATTTTTTCCCAATGCGCGTTGACGAGCTGAGTTCATTCGCCATTATTATTCTGCATTTATTATGTTAAAAAGGAATCCTACTCACGAAATTTTCATAATGAAGGGGGAATTTTTTTTTACCTTGTTCTTTTTATGCATATTTTGGCACGTTTTCTTAGGGTGTTTGTAAAGTAAAATGGCTCAAAAGCGAAAGTTAGATAATTCTGATGATGATTATGATTGTGATACAGAAAGCTTATCAAGTTTTGAGTCTGATGAAGACTTTGTTCACAGTATATCAAGCTCAGAAGACGATTTTTCGAGTGTTCGACAGTGGTGTAAAATTGATTCAAGTTCTCACGCTCCTAGCCGATTTAGTTTTACTGGTTAATTTAGTTTATATATATCACACACAAAATATAATAATTGTGTGTGATAATATATATCACACACAAAAAGATTTTTAGGTAATTACTGTATTTAAATGCTTCATAAAGTTTTACATTAGTTGTGTTTATTTAGTCCTTTCAATTTAATATTTGTCTTATATTTATAATTTACTATTTAATAATTATCATTTATTAATTATTTCAAAGTATGTAAAAACTGTTATTTATGTGCTACAAATACTTAAAAAAAATTTTTAAATGCTTGAGGGGAGCTATGTATGTCATTGCCAGAGAAGGGTGATCTTTTCAGAAGAACGGTAGGGGAAAACAGCTGCCACATTCGACTACTGTTTACTCGTAATGCTGCGCGAATTAAGTAAATGAAAACTGCTCATTTCCCTAATCATCAAAGTGTTAAACTAATAGACTCAGGCAATGAAATGTAGCAATCAGGGTATTGAAAAAAAGGATGTAATTTTTTTTGTAAGGTTATTCTATGTTCACTTTTTTCACCAAAAATTTTAGCAGTTTTGATATTTCTTTAACTTATTATAATAATTTTACAATTACCAAACATTTTTACATAATGTATCTGAAAATATATAAAGATAAGAAAATACAGACAAAGAAAAAAATGAAAATGTTTCGAGGCATTCTTTTTATAACATAAATGTTCATTTTCCTTGCTTTGCACGTGACGCTGTCATTTTGTCTGTTACTTGCATAAAATTTTCACATTGTTCTATGTCTTAAAATTAGAAAATAAAGTTAATGACCTAAAACTGCAATACTATACTATATTACAGTAAAAGTGAAAAAATTGACAGTTTCACTCACGGATTTGCGCAATGCTCATGGGGTACCACAAAATTTTTGTAAATATTATGGGGTCCTGGGAGGTCGTTAAAAACTCTGAATGATAAAAAGGGGTCATGACTGAAAAAAGTTTTAGAAACCCTGTGCTAATACATATATCATGGATAATTTCTTTCAGTGTCCAGAAAGAAACAGGTTTCTTCTAGAAGAAACTCAATCTTATTTTATTACTCCCTAGGTTTAAGATCCCTAAATCATACTATTATTAATTATAACCCTGTTTTTCTATAGAAAGGAAAAATGAAAGAGATGAGAAATTATAGCAGATTCTACTTGCATTTAAATACATGATATATATGTGACAAGTTATGGTGGTGTGTGTATTTAATTATGGCAAAGCACACTAGGGCTATCTGCCTAAGGGGAGGGATGCCTTCGTGGAGGACTTTCTAAGGGAACTGGCTCGTATACACGTTAAACATGGGGAAAACCACGAAAACACCCATGCAGCCAGCCCGTTTGCGGGATTCGAACCTCGGACCGAACTACCAGTGTTTCAGCGACTTTACCGCTCGGCCGCTGGTGGGCGTGAAAAATTATGAGTATCTAAATGTGAGCTAGGTTTCTATTAATAAAAATTTCTTCTAAAATCCCAAAATATAGAAATATAACATGTGGAGAAATTTATTTCTGTCAATAAAACATATTTACTTGCATCGTATGTAACTGCAAAAAGTGCTGCTAGGATAAAAATGTCAGAAAGAGTTCACAAGAAAAAGTATGGAGATGAAATTAAAAAAAAATTCTTTTATCAAATGATAGTGTATCAAGATGAATTTTTTAAATGGTAATGATCAATTGCAGCAGCTTATTATAAGCTTAAGAACATCCCAAAGTTTGCAATTCATTTGGATGAATCTATTCACATTTCTAACTTTGCACAGTTATTAATTTATATAAGACAAGCATGTGAAGGAAATCTACATAAAGAATAATTGTTTTGAAAGTTTTATCCTTTGAGAGTATGCATAACTGGGGAAAGCATATACATTAATGACTCTCTGATATGTTGACATCTGTAGAGAAGGTGCTAGGACAATGATGTGTTGATTTGTATAAGCATATTGCCATCACAAGTATAAGCATCATGGATGGCAAGTTAAAAACCGATGGCTACAAGCATATCATTTTTACAAACTGTATGATCCATCAAGAAACACTAATTTCATTTAAAGCCAAGCACTTAACAGTTGTTTATTTTCAAATCTTTGTGATGC